CTCTTCACGATCGCCAGTATGAATCAATACGTGAAAAATTAATAGAAGAAAATCCCAATGCATCTGTTCTAAACCCCCTATCCTTAGTTGTGTCAGCACATTTACACTTGAATAGTGTAACCCGAAATCGACCATAGTAGTTAAGTTCAATGATGTCTTCTAATTTTCCATAATATGGCAAATCTGCTTGCCTCAGGTTTCTATCAGCACCACTAGCAAGACAAGATGTGGACGAAGTCAAAAATACACCATTGTTTTGAGTTGTCAATCCATTCTCTTGCTCTAAAGTTCGAAATTTGAACCCGTTGATATTAAATGATGTAAACCTTCTAGCATGTGGTGCTGGACCATTTGCTAAAAACTTTAGGTCATCTGATACAGTATTCGAAATGTCTGGGTTCACAATCTGAAATAAGAATTAAAAAAATATGTTAGGCATAGTTTTAAATTTGTAAAATTCTAATACATTGTAACAAACCTTTCGGGGAAACCAATAAATGAAGTCTTTATTAACTATCTTCTCAATCTCCGTACTACTAGGCTTTCGACCCTTCCAGCGCCTTCGTACATGATCTTTAAATTCACTACATGAAATGATGATACAAATATTAATCATTATACATATTTAATATAAATTTTATTTAGATTTGCATTGAATACTCACTCAATGAACGGCATGACTTGTGGACAATTTAGTACCACATATCGATGTGCTTGACGTTTCACTATAGGTGACAACTCAAATGTTTCTGTTGCTATTCCTTTACCAACCGGTGGAAAAATGCTAGATGAATTTGTCGAGCCTCTATCCTCCGGATAATCATCAACACGACGAGGCCTATTAATTCTTGTCTCAATCCCTTCAAAATACTGAGAATAGAAAGTGAGAGCCTCTTCAGCCAGGTATCCCTCGGCTATAGAACCTTCTGGTTGTGACATGTTCCGCACAAAGCACACTTGCAATAAGAAATTGATGCAAGTGCTGTTGCAGGCTTCAGTAATTTCTTTACCATTTTGCTTGCCCTTTCAAGGTTTTTTCGAATGAGTTCGGGTATTGCTTTCTCATTTTCGGACATTCTTTTTTCCCTTCAATGAAGATGCGCAACTAACAAACACATTTTATATGCACGTAGAATATTAATTATTTACAAATATTTTATATGGACATAGAATACAAATTATTTACAAATATAACTTATGCATAGGATATTATTCATAAATGTAACTCCTGCAGAACTTACATCTCTTCACTTTCTCTTTTACAATCCTTTCATTTGTTTTTTCAAAGAGACCGATGGTTTAACTTTCAGTTTAAGCTCTTGTGGATTCTCTTTTCCTGGCCATCCCATTTTTTATGAAGTTCTATATTGGATTTGTAGGAGAAATTTCAACAGAAAAGAACATATTTTTATATTTTGCGCAATTTGAAATAATTTGTTGATATTGAGGGTAAAAAAATATTATATTACAACGTAGGAGTGATTGGTTATGGGATGCTACGAAAGTGATAAGAAGAACGATGTAGAGTATGGACTTTTTTATCAAAAATAAATGGGTAGAAAAGTATGAAAGTTGGAGAAGAGGAAAATACAAAAAGAAAAATGTTAAAATAGAAACAAAAGGAGGGAAAGAAATTCATTTGATTTTCGTAGACTTGTGCTATATTTTTCTCCCTTTAATTCATCTTTCTTCTTGATTTTTAAACATGGAGAAAATTATGAAAATAATTTAACTCTATAACAAAAATGAAAAAGTAAAATACATATATACATGTAAAACTTACACATTACCCACATAACTATCAATT